AGAATTCAACTATAATATGAACTTACTGTTTTTTTGTCTATAATAATATCACGAGTATTTCAAACTGGATTAAAAGCTCACTGTCTAGTGTGACGGTTCCTCTTGTTTAACAATATGAAAGGTTTTCTTGTTTTGTTATTTTTAACTAACTTTCATATTGATTGACATATGAAAACATGCCAATTTAGTTATTTCAAATACGCGTCAATAAGTGAGAAGCACAAGTTGTTACATCAGACCCGTACAATAAGTACGGTAAAACTGATTTATCCTCTACCGTCAGTGTAACATAAACTTTAATTATTTTAAAATGAGCGTTTTTTTTTTTTAACATCAAGATTAAATATGGATAATACATTGTTTATATCAATTACCCAAGTTGAAGTTACGCGGAAGGGGATAATATTCTGCTTATACTCAATAGCTCGAAATCGTAACACCCTTGTATGACATATGCCAGTCCATTGTGACGAAAAGCTGTTCTCTTACGATGCAAATTATTATTATTATAATTACGTAATTAAATTTATTGTGACAACGTCATGTTTGTCACGAGTTCAAGGAGTGTAACAATGCTTTAGATTTAATAAGAAAATGTGTGGTCGTCATCAAGATCTTTGCTCTTATCTACAATGATTACAAAAAAAAGAGCACCAACTACCCTCTATAGTAAATTAATTAAATCCGAATTATCTACTAAATAAGTCTTTTAATTTACTGAATACCAATCCTAAAGTACTATGTTATTAATAATGATGCATTCGAATTCTGGGCGAAAACTTTCTCATCGAAAAGTTACATTTGCCAGCAAGTAAATTCACAATTAATATTAACGATAGTCGATCAGTTTAGCCTAGACCAAGAAATAGTGATGAAAGTTCGTTTTATTGGTTAATCAATTCAGAGATCCGTCCGGTTCAGGTCCGGTACTTAAAAAGTGGTCCCGAACTTGTTAGGAACTAGTTCACAACCCCTATCTGAAACTGGTCTAAAAAAGCAGTATACAATACAGATAATTTTGGAAAATTGTGTAATACTCATCATGGCGCAATGGTAAAAAAAAAAAAAAATTACTACGCACGAACGTACATACGTAAATCTACAAATCGAATTACTTAATAATTATCATTATCTAATTATATAGCGAATTTTTTTAAGGCGGATGACTCTTATTAGATGCGACAAAATGACATTCGATTTTTATCTGGATTAATTTCGGACCAATTCTGAACACAATCGGTACGTACTTTTTATGGAGTCCGCGCATAACGATAATGAAACACCTTTTACTTTATTTGAATAAACATATATCCTCATTACATTAAACAAATTGACTAATAAAACCAACTGAAGATCATAGTTTATATGTACAGTAACTTTTATATCGATATCATAATCATGGATTTGTTCATTTGTTTGCACGATGAAAATACGAAGAACGGCGGCCTAAACCTGTCATGGGGAATTAATAGAAAAATGTTGGGGAGCAATTTTACACAAAATTTGCTCTAGCCTCGAACTTAAAAATGCATGATCACTAAATACAGCGCTTTGGCGATCTCTATGGTTTTTGATTGTCTTTTCGCATAACAGTAATACGTATAATCGATAACTTGCTCACGTGAACGATAGAAATTTAGTAATTAAGAGTTGGTGGAACCTTCAAATTTTAAACGCTTATGTGAAATGGATGGTTTTAAAATATTATTTTTTCTAATTTTAAGTACCGTATAATTACTAATAAATTCGGCCTGAATATTAGTAACCTCTTTACTTAGCCTAGAAAGTCTCTTTCTACGTTTTTATTATTTTTATTCAGTTCCTATTTCGCGTTAAAAACCCTATCGCTATTGTAACTTCATGATAAATTATCGCGGTAATTTATGGTAAGTTTAGGTGTAAGTTGCCAAATGCAGGCTCATTGTCGGAAAATTCAGGATGGCAGACAATTAATGAATATGAATAGAGTCTTTCAGAATAAAATCTAGGTTAAATTTACGTACCGTTTTAGTAACTTGTCGCAAAAATCTATACCCTTATTGTAAACAATATAAAAAGTTTGTTTTCTCAATAGAAATAACCCGAATTTTGTCATTGCTTAGGGAGATGATATACTGAGCAGAGCTGGGAAATTGAACAAAAACTACGCCACAATTTCAATTAAGATAACAAGAATTCGAGAAGTATTTAGTATTGGCACACTTTGGAAATTACTGTAGAAGAGCAGTTTGACTATGTTAAACTCACTTCTAAGCTCTGAAGCGCATCATTAATATATACATCTCATATGGATTATAGTTTGAGTTATTGTTGCTATTCAAACCAAACTAGTTTGGGACTTTGGAATTTCTAGAATATAACTATATTTTGGATTAGTTAAAACCTTTTTGTATAAGAGCCCAAATTAGTAAAGCACTTTACCCAATCCAAAACAAGGTATAAATTTTAAATTAACAAGTTTGATATTTGAATTTGGAACGGATTTAGAACTTAAATTGCCCAAACCTATTAATTGAAATTTGGAACAACCCATTTTTAGTTTTGGCCAATAGTAATAACTATTTGGGAAGTTATAGTTTAAATTATATTACTGATTTTAGTACTATATATTCTAAGTATAATTTTTTTATTTTTATTTTTTGAAAACTAATAAAAAAAATGCTATTTTATTCTTTAGACAATTTGTTCAACCATTATTCAACAATAAAATTATTTACATAGCATTATAATGTTTAATACTAGTAATACTCTTATTGTTTAAAGACCAAATTTTAAAACAGCATATTATACTGTATTTATAATAATGTATAATGTAAACCTTTTAAAGTAGTAGAAATACTTGAATCATGACAATCTGCCTTAGAAAGCTGCCAAAAGTTATAGCCATTTTTTTAAAAAAAAATTTCTAAACTTTAAGCAAGCTAATTTAATGCATTCATGATTCAAATCCTTTATATGAGAAAAAAAATCATAATTTTTTCCAATTTTTGTTAATTAAAAAAAAAAGCTGAATTAACTATGTATGTTGCTTGAAAACCTATTAATTAAGAATAAAGGCAAAATTTTTCTAGTTCTATCTGATAGACAAAAAAATTTGCTTTTATGTCGAATTAATAGATAAATCTAGCTAATACCATAATACATACTTTTTTTTTTGAAAACAACAAACGATTGGTCTGGTTCAAAATCGGAATGTCCAAATCGAAATTTAAGCTTCGGTAAAATTTTATATGATTAACCAAACCAATTAAATCAATCTGGACCAACTCCGAAACTAAATCCAGTTTATTTTATCATATAATATATAACCGATATTAAAGAGCGCATATATATATATATATATATGTATGTATAACCGCATCTAAGAATGGATAAAATGCGCATTCAAATTTTGCGAAGGAGATCATTACATTCGGAATTTCAATTTCCCACGAATAATGTGAGTAATCCTACACGCATCCCGTGATTCGAATCCTCGATCATTCTCCTTGAATCGTATACAGTAACTTTCCATATTGGTTTAACAAAACTATTATTTTTTCGCTACAAACCTTTTCCATCCAATATTCGGATACACTGTTGATTAATGCAAACGCATGTGAATAAACTCGTATTTTCAATTGTAAACGGACGTAGACTGTATGCATGATTCTGCAAAACAGTCGTATACATACCAATACAGTATCCCTGAAGTTCTTGTTAAACATTCCACTAATTATTATTGTCTAGCTTTTTTTATACTATACTCAAAATATATAATTAATAGAACATAATGCATTAAAAGAATATGCTTGTTATTAGTAAGTGTTCTAGAAATCTGAAACTATAAGAATTTACGAAAAAGAGCAAAAAAAATTGATCCAAGATTTTATTTCTTTTTGATGCAAAAAAAAAAAACTCTAAAAAAATGAAATCGTACGTACGTACCCAATAGGACAACCCTTGCTACACAAATGGATATATATCTATAGTACGTAATAGAAAAAAAGTTTTTCTAAATATAATAGATTGTAGTACTGTTTATGTATACACTATAATCGGAGTGAAATGAATAGATTTTTTAGAATATATCTTGAAATTTGCCTTTTGAACATAATTGGTAAGTTCCATTAAAACTAATTGAATGTAAATTCTTTAGTAAGCAAATTTAGTTTCGGTAAAAGGAAAGTTTGATTTTTCACAAATTTCATTCGTTTATTTACCTTGTTACCACAATCTATATAATATAAATATATAAAATACAGAAATGTTACATACCATACACAACCACACATTTGAAAAGGGCTCGTGAAGGCAACTACGTAATGTGTGTACTATATATTGATACTGATGCCTATACGTATACACAAAAAAAACAATATATATATATATATTATATCTACAAAAGGCAAAAAACCTCTTAGAAAAACATATTAACTTTTCGCAACAAAAGAAAATACCTCTTTAAAAAAAAATTAAAACTTCTTTTGTTTTTATCGTATTTTGTACTGAGATGTTTAGCTGTATATTGAAAATGTATATTAATATGATAATAGATGTAATAAAGATTAAAACACTTAAAAAGTAATAAAATTGTTATATACATACGATGCGAAAGAACCCGTTAGGTTTTTGTGTACCGAACCATATCTTATGCAAACCAGCATTAAAACGCCATTATTGCTGTTCTTTTCGTACAGATGTTATCTTGTGGCATTTTTTTTAAAAAAAGATAAAGTTTATTAGAGAAAAAAAAATGAAAAAAAACGAAATAGTGTATAGTATATAATCTTAACGAACAAGATTAAAAAAAAAACCTCAAAGGATAAAAAAAAATAATAATAAAAAATAAAAATAAATGAATAATGTTAATCTAAAACTCTATAACTTCAAAACACGTGCGTATATAGGACTAACTCAACAAAATATAGTCTCAGGTCATCTTGTTGTCAATACAAGCGTTTGCGATAATTCGTAATAATAGAAATTTAAAATTGTGGAATCATACATAGGTCGTCGTTTCAGTTGGAAGAATTTTGTCTTATTAACAGTTTCAAATTTCTTTTTCTAACTAACTCAATCCTCTTTCGATTTTTTTCTAATTTAGGTAGCATCTTTAAACGGAATTGATGCTTTCCTAAATAATATTGTTTCAATTTCCGATACTTTTTTACTCGAGGATTAGAGGACTTTTCTATGTCTTTCTCTTTCTCTCTCAGTTCTCTACCAATCTCCGTTTCGACAAGAATTTGCCAAAATTCTTTTACATAAAGATCGAACTTACTTTGTGTATTAGTAATTCTGTCATTATATTTCTTTAGTTCCTTATACCACTGTTTTTGTAATTTCTTCTTAGAACTATTTGTCATTTTAGGAATATCCTCAGTTATTGCCGCAGTTTCTTGTAGAATTGTTGTTTCTTTTGGTTCTTGGAAATCGGAATGAGTATGCAACTGTTCTTCTGGTTCATTCTTTGAAAAATCGTTTACTATTGGCGCTGGATTATTCATAAAAGTTGCATTTTCCGTCTTGAAAAAGTCATCTTGATTCATATTATCAGGTATTTTTGGTGAAATTTCAGACGATGTCGTTGTTGGCTTAATTTCGAACACCATATATAAATAACATTTGAATAACGGATCAAGTATATCTTCACTTGTAGCTTTACAAATAATTCTTAATTGCGATGGTGAAAAAAATCCCTCAGTATGACAATAGGCCTGACAATATACCTTGAATAGATCACATATAATTGAAGTTGTTTCATTGGTGACATTACTTTCCTGAAGGTTTATATCTATGCTAACACGGGTTGCTAAAATATCTTTAAATGACTCAGATACTATTTTTAGGTAAGGTTTAAAATTTAACAGTACCCAATTATAATATTTTGGAGATAATGAAAGTTTCCTCACCACATTTGTGACATTAACTTTTTCCTCAATAATAACATCACCGTTTTTATAATGATTCCCCATTGCTTCAAGGAAGTAATAATGATCATCTTTGTCACCAATGTACAAACGCAAGAAATCCCATAAATTATTTGTTTTCATATTACGTTCTGTATTAATAGCACCGGTTAAAATATCTATATAAAATTTATGTTTGGATTCATCTGTTCTACATTTAATTTTAATAAATGAATCCATTATAGTTTTACCAATATCACTCAATCTGTGTTCAAAGAGCTGTAGTATATCCAGTATTACCAAATGAGACAAGTCAAATCCGAGTTCAATTAGTTCAGTAAGTCTTTGGATCACACTTTTTGTATCTGGTCTAACCCAATCATATGAAGGAGTAGGCGGGAAAAGAATCAAGACAGCGCCCTGCATTACTAAGTCATTTACGTCGTAAACAATCTCGTTGTATCCTATATCCTTCCACAAATTCACCAAATCTTTACAAATTAATATTGCACGAGCGATCACATTAAGCTGCCTATTATTCTCACAACCGTCCTTGGGAGGATACTCTTCGGTGACGTTATTTTGCAGGTTTTCAACTTGTTTTGATTTTGGCCTTGGAGGAAAGGGGATAAATTTCCATCGTACAATTAATTCTTTGAGTGACTCAAAATTATTTTTTAATTTTTGTCTTGCTTGAGAAATGATATGAGGGCCAGCGCTCAAAAAATGGAACAATTCCATATCATTTCCTTTAGCCACGAGATCTAGGGTTTTTAACTTTCTTGAAGCTTCATTTAAAAGAAAAGTAAAGACAGAAATGGGTGTATTACTGGCCCATGGTGCTTTAGCTGTCTGCTGTGTTTGGTCAGTATTACCAAGTCCCTTATTATAATCGCGTTTTATATCAAGCAAATTTTGATCATAGGATCCGAAATGCATAAGCAACCTCTGGATGAAATACCGAGAAATAATACCATCTTTAGCAATTATTATTTGAACGACACCTACACTAATAAAGTTTGGACCGAGTCTAATCGCATGAAAAAGGGCATGAGCTTTGCCATAATTGTATATAACCCATTCGCCTCTTGCTTGACAATCCATGGAAATATAATACCAAATTTTAGAGGTTAAGATTAAACTTAAAGGGTATTGAATAAACTTAAAAATTTTGATCTTTATTTCATCTGAAAGATCATTCATATATACTCTACGTTTTTTGGAACTTAGTTGATTAATTGACCTGTTTGAATCTTTTGAGTCTTTCTGTGAAAATTCGTTTAATCTCAACTTTTTTTGGGACTCTGGCTTCATATTGGCAATACTTTACATTCCTTCAAAAAGGGAAAAAAGAACAAAAGGAAAACAAAAAAAACAAAAGGAAAACAAAAAAAATAAATAAATGAACGAAAAGAAAAATAATAAAACATTGTGCACACCTTTTTCGGACATGGAAGTCCGTTTGTAACACTGTATATATTACTGTATATACTGTATTTATTATTAATCTAAACTACAAATACTTAAGCTGTAATACAAGTGTAGATACAACACGACATCATCAAGATTCATGCTCTTTCATGTAATATTATTTTGGAAAGTGATGAACATGGAAAATACGAGTGATACAAATAAAGTAAGGAATTAAAAATCTTTTAGAACATTAGGATTTGAATAAGGTTGTTAGTTTTTGTTATTGTTCGCGATTATTGAAAGAATAATAAGCACTTATATGTAAAGTTATTCCGTGTCATTTTAATCAATATCAAAGTAACTCGTTTTCTTATATTTCTGTATTTTTGCTTTTCTTCGTTTTGCACACGTGTCGGGCTGATCCGGGGTAAACAAAATTTACATTCTTAGATTTGCTATTTTCTTTTTTGGGGGCTTGTATCACTCAGCATGCAATTGTCACTGCCATAAATGGATTTCCACGAACACGAAAAGATTATTTTATAATCGAACCTTGCATATTAAGAAAAGCTGTTCACAATAATTCTACATATGGTAAGTTATGAAAGGAAAAGATGGTGATAGGCTAACGTCTTTTAATCAGACGAAAAATTTGATAATTAAATATGAAATTTTTTAAATAGTTTGAATGTTTTTCTCTTTCTTTCATATAAATTTAACACACTAAATACTTAAAGGTTAATATTCATCCTAATACGTGATTTAAACGAAAATTTAAACAAATATTCAAGTGACACAATCTGTCTCGTTAATAGAAACTTCTCTGGCATCAACATTATTATTAGTAACATTATAGTATAGATTTCCCTATATGAATAAAGTTTATAATTCTAATTCATCCTTATTATCCACCCCTATATGTCAACTATCCTATCAAATTAATATCAACGACGGACGGCTGCAATTGAGATTCGATCATAGATTAACCTGGAGATAGGCTCGTTTCCACCAATCATAATAATATTAATAATTGATAGACGCTCGGTTTGCACACTTATTCGTTGATTCTTTTCTTTAAAAAAAAATCTTACCATGCAATTAGTAGCTCTAACATGAACCTCAATGGTTTTAATAGTTGTAGATGATTTTATCTCTTTGGAGTCAAGTTTTTGTTTTTTTTTATTGTTTACATATATATAATATATATTTATTTATTATAAATTAAACTAAGATTATTTTTATTTTTACTTTTATTTTTATTTTTATTTTTTATTTTTTTTTATATATTTATTTTGTTCTTTCTTGGCTGCTAATCATTCTAGTATCAATTTACATATTAGAACATATAGAATACAATAAAAGAACTATCCCATCCCTAATTTATGGGCGTCCGGTTATACATATTAGATTTATCTTGATATATAATATATATATATTTATATATTTATATATATATATATATTGTATGGGCGTTCTATTATTTTTGTACGAGCCACCGTACTAGCATGTAATATGTACCAGTAAACTCTAAGAACCGTAACTGCAGGTTTTTTTGTTTATTAAACACACATAAGGGACCAACCGTATTCATTTAGGAATGTTGCTCAAAAAATTTTAAACCTTTAAATATCTATGCCGTTTTCCCCAACCCTTTTTTTTTTTAGAAAAAATTTTTTATTTGTAGTAAAAAAAAAAAAAAAATAAGTTATGCTATGACGGTTTCTGATCGGCGTATACATTTTGTGATGGAGCCTCACCCCGAACAAATTACGTAAGTGTTTGAATCAGTTTTTTTCATCTAAAACGCGCAGATAAATAAAAAAAAATTTAATAATTATAAATTGAAATATTATAGTTATAGGTACAGATTAGAAGTTTCTCAAGAACCTGTACGTGCAAGGATGTGTGGTTTTGGGGACAAAGATCGTCGCCCAATAGATCCACCACCTGTGGTTAGGCTTATTGTGACCTCCACAGACGGAACACCTGTATCTGAGAGGTAATGTCTTACCATTACAGTATCTAACTTATTTACACTTTTCGTGAGTATAAGTTAAATCTCGATCACCAATTCATTATCATGAAAAAAATTTCAAATTAATCGCGTTATAAAAAATTACAGTTCTATCGACCATTCCATGATGATCGTTCATGCCGGTCTATGGTCCGAAGATTGCGCAGAAGAACGTAGTTTAGTAATCAATCCTTCAACTATACCTACACAATCTGCTGGGCCTAGTTCAACCGTCATGTCTTTGAACACGCCTTCGAGTACACGAAACCTTATGGGTCATTGCACTTCGTCAGCATATGTGCTTAATAATCATTCTGGTCAACAAGGAATTTATTTTATATTTCAGGACCTCTCTGTTAGAACTGAAGGCACTTTTACCCTAAAATTCTCATTTTGTAACGTTAAAGAATTAATGGTTCAGTAAGTTATAATTAAAAATTACGTAATTATTCTGGTACACGTAACACACGTCGTAAAAAGTTTCTTGGTAGAGGTAAATTAAAAAATTCATGTAACAAGTAGATCTCCCAATGGATTCACAAGTACTCGTGGAAATGTTGCAGCTGAAGTGTACAGCGCACCTTTTAAAGTTTATTCTGCAAAGAAATTCCCGGGTATGACAGGTACATACGAAAATCCGAGTTTATTCTAAGTCATGAACATGTATTGTTCAACTCTGACTTTGTTAATGCATGTATGTTAGATAAATAAATAAATCCGAATTCATGCTTAAAAAAAAATATTAGAATCTACCGCGCTTTCTAAAGCTTTCGCCAAGCAAGGAATTAAAATTCCAATTCGTAAAGAAACACGTTATAGAAAAAACCCTAATGATGATTCACATCAACCCAGTGAAGAAGTTCCTGAAACCACCTCTTCCTTAGAAACACCTGAGACCGCCAGTAATAATCCCAAAACCATCGAATCTTCCAATGATAACAATGACCCTAAAACCGCCGAATCCTCCAATGATAACAATGATAACGAAGAACCACATGATCGTTCGGATCTATCGGACGACGTTATCGACGCGTTCTCTAGCACATCATCACAGGAAGAAGAAAATGAAGACATGCCTGCTTCAAAGCGGTTACGTAAAACAGAATAAATAAGTTTTTAAGACTTGCTAGCAGCAAAAAATAAAAATAAAAAATAGAAAATAAAAAAAATATATATAAAAATAAATAAAGATTTTTGATTTTTTTTTTCTTTTAAATTATGGACTTAATAGTTTTCATTTATGTTTAATATTAGGTATGTTCATCGTATCACACATTATTTATGACCATTAATGGTAACCTTTTATGTAACATGAATCTCTTTTTTATACTTATAATTAATAGGGAACATATTATACATGATTATACATATGTATATGTATGCATATATATTAAATTATTATTGATTTTTTCGTTTCAAATCATGTTTTTATTTAATTTATTTAACTTTTATTATTGCACCAATAATTCAGTTGTCTTACGTATTGTGAATAGAAAATAATTAAAAATAATTTTTTTTAACTTGTTATATATATATATATTGCACAAATTCTCTACAATACGAATACGCGCATCCTAAGATTTAAATTTCAAAATAATAACATTGTGAATCAAGCATGAAAAAGATATGGCTTACCACGTAGAAGTCAGGGCTGAAACTATTAAATAACAACACATATAATACTAATGTTAACAATTTTGAAATATAGTACATCGCTAAAAGTTTTAAGGTTGGATTAAAGTTAACTAAACTAATGTTGTAATGTTTTTAGTTCATTTTTTCATAATTACTTTAAAATATATACATGCAATTTTTTTAGGGAAGTTTAGGGATGTAAAAACCGACTAATGTATAAACAGAATGTGCTAATAACATCCCTAATGCTTAGTTTTTCTTATCGTTAAACCCAATTAATGAAATTAATGAATAAACAGAATGTGCTAATAACATCCCTAATGCTTAGTTTTTCATATATATGATAATCTCCACCATCGTTAAAACCAATTAATAATTCTATACATTATAATGAAAATTTTCATATTGACAACAATTTATTAATACATATATTTTTTTTTTTTTTAAATAAAAAAAAAAAAAAAGAAAGGAAAAAAAAAAAAAAGGAATTAAACAGTTAACATCGAAAAAAAGAAATAAAGCACTAAGAATCAAATATTAAGATCAATTTAACCTGTTGAATATCCCAACACTGTACATGAATCTTTTCAAATACCTTTAAAATGTCTTTATTTCCTGATTCAAAGTTACCGCCTTCAAATATCAAATCATATTGATTTCCGACCCAATACCTAATGGAATTTCCTAACAGAGGTTCCTTACCCCTATATTTCGAATAAGTATCAATATAATAACATCCAAGACCTGAAGCATACTTTACCAGCAAGTTAAATGCGTTGAATTTGTTAAATGGGATAGGATTGTTGTGGGTCCTGTGGGTATGAGGACTAACAAAAAAACCAGTTTTAATTTTTATTGGAGGAAAGTGCGGAAGGTATGTAGATGGATGAGATGGATATATCTGAAATTCCGTAAATTTGTGGTGTTTGAATAGTGAATCAAAAATGGATTCAGAAAATATTAATATTTCCTGTTTTTCAAGTAATGTCACCGATTTATTTGAACCCCTGAGGCAAGTTCCGATCCATCTACGACTCTTCAGAAGAAATTTCCTAAATTTATTTTTTTTTTCGGGCTTTACCGTCTTACAATTTCTTTTGTACCAATAAAAAACTTGCACCAAAAGATTCATAAAATCAAGTTTTTTGATAAATGCTGTGTAATAAAATATCGTTGTCTTTGGAATGACAAGTTTTCTTTCGGTAAATTTTAACAATGATTTTCTATCTTCATCTAATGATGATAGTAATAATGGAATTATTTTGTAATGTTTTCTTGAAGATCGTCTTGAATGTAAAGGATTTTTCCATAATAGTGGGATTGCGTTTTGACAAAAATTTCGATTTACCAACGCAAGTGAAAGTAATGTCTTGTGATCGCTCTCGCTTAGGTGTCCTAAAATATTTTGGACACATTCGTTAGGTAAACGCAAAGACATGTTTTAAGGAAAATCAATTTTTTTTTTTTTTTTTTTTACTCAATGATTTACGTTTTATATATATGCATTTGTACCTTAATAAAGCATGCACGGCGTTTTCAGAATTTCTTAAAATGACTTTTAGAGTGAAAATCCTTTTCTTTTATTTGTTATCCAGACGAAGATCATCTAATATTAAAATGTCATGCGGAGTAATATTAACTCTGGCTACCTATGTCGATAAAACATTAAACGACACCCATGATTTATAGCTTTCATCACCTGAAAACATCCAACTAGGGTATCACTATTGTAATCTAAAACGTTTGAGTGAATACATTAATAGAACGAGGCACCTCTTGCGTGATTCGTTTTAAATGCACAGTGGCATTATTACTGTAATGTTTTCTTGAAGATCGTCTTGAATGTAAAGGATTTTTCCATAATAGTGGGATTGCGTTTTGACAAAAATTT